CAACATTTACAGACCTTTATCCGAAATACCTCTATTAGTCCTGCCAGTTTAGTACTCGACGACCTTGCAACACTTTTTCTCAGAGAATAGACGTGTTTACTTTTACAGCGGACCTACCAGTTTTATGCAGACTATACGAAACACACGATATATATATATATAAATATATATATATATTATATAAAAGAAAATCTTAATTTAACAACTATATCGTACGTCTGTGAGAAAATAAATAATGAAAATCAATAATGAAGGACAAAGTTCGAGACCACGATCACCTAGCAGGCAGGAGATCTCACAAATAAATTATATTTTTTTTAAAAATTATAAATACCTAATTTGAATTACAAATATCTGTAATACATACTCCTAATTATTCATAAGATGTCTGACAACATCAGTCATTGCTTTATTAACGACCCGGTTGAAGAGTTATAAATCATATTCAATAACGATTAACTATATATTTTTGCAAGGATTTCATAGCCGATAATTTTCTGAAGAAAGTAAAAGAAATAAATTTTGAAACGACTTTCATTTTTGTAGACGGCATTAGATTATATGAAAATTAATAGAACATATGACTAACAAAGCAACTGAAGTAATGAAAAGTGTAAAGAGACACTAAACTTTTTACAGACATGACCCAATGTTTTGAAGAAAGATATTTGCTTGTATGAATACAAAGATTGCTTTAGATCAAATAGCATTACCACCCAAAGAAACGTTTTCTTCAGATTTACTCAATTAGAACATTAAATGACGACGTATGTTCATTATATAAGGTTTTAACATTCCAACACCGAGATTACTACATAATGCAGGTTATGTGATAATTCGAGGAGCTTATAAATGTGGGTATAAAAAACCACGAACTAGATCCAGCTCCTCTTTCAGAACATATCCTAATTTTAGGGGCCTGTCCTAAGGCTAAACGGTCTTTTGTTATTTGTTACGCTACGATTCATGTACAAAGGCGATACACATCTATATAATCCGGGCTGAGACATCGGTTGTAACTGCGTCAGAAATCCATGTAAAGCTGTTCAGACACAAATAATAAATAAATAACGTAAATAATAAATTATTAATATTTTATTCTAACTTCTCAAAAGCTCTCTTTAAGTGTGCCATGTATAAACCATTGTAACTATAAAAATATTCACGCCTCATTTTCGCTCTTAGTATATGTGTTGTTACGTATCAGCTCGTTCAAAGTAACATAAAAGAGTGAAAACAACAATCTTTGTGAAATTTAGCAAAAAATAATTTATTTCCCTAGAAAACATGAAATATGGTAATTATATTAAACTAGAACTACGGTTTACAGAAATGATCCAAAATGTTTCTTCAAAATATAAACATAAGTCCTGTAAAAAGTTCTAAACACAGTCTGAAGCTCTGGGCCAAAATGGCTGATGACCACGTCAGACGAAAGCCAACAGAAAATTCCAGAATTTACACAATAAAGCACGGTTTGTGTTGTTTCATTCCAATTTAGAATATTTTCGAGAAAAGGTCTTTGTCGAAATCAGTAATGTTATACTCCAGAAAAACAAATATTCAGAAAAACGAAGTAAAAAGCTCTAACAAGACATGCTGTTCTACGTAGACACACGAACAGAAAATTTCTAGCACAAAAATACCTTTTTTAAGGTAAAAGAAGTTGTAAAACTGATGTTACTACTCTACGACTGTGTATGACTCTACTCTGACTGACTGTCCGTGACTGTTGACTGTGTATCTCTTACAAAATTCTCAAACATATAAATGAAGCTAATACGGTGTTTGAATTGCACGCGCACGAGGACGCATGCAATTTCGTAATACTTCTGGACATTAGGAAAGCCTGACCCAGTATCAGCCATTCGTTTTCATATTTATTCCTGAATGTTTACTTGTAATGAATTTGTTATCATACACAGCACGTGCTCACATGAGTCACATCTACGACACAAGTAAACAATGTTTTTCAAAAACATATTAGACTGATATTAATATAATTATATTAATAATTACATTTAATGAAATAAAAATTAAATAAAAAGATATTTACAGAATTGATTTCGTAACACACACACATAATTTAACTACAGGGTCGAAACAATATATATATATATATATATATATATATATATATATATATATATATATATATATATATATATATATATATATATATATATATATATATATATATATATATATATATATCAGCAAACCTTCAAAGATCACCACAACATTAATTATGTCTATTTATCTGTCTGCCTGAGGACCTGTCCCTCTATATGTAAATGTCTATAATGTTTACAGATATCAATGCACGAAGTATCTTGTCTTCTTATCAGATGTCAGTATTGTATAATAACTGGATCATATTCTAGCTTTTGTGTCTAAAGCGCATAGCAGACAGATGCCTTTTAATGCTGCACCGCACCTGGAAGAGGACCCATATCCTACGTTCGTTAACTGGTGTTACTGTTTCTGCGTTACTATTAATATTTATTTATTCTTTATTTGCGTCTGCTGTTAATATCATTATTGTGCGATGACTGATTTAAATAACTGGCCGGGGATACAGCGCAAAATGCCCCATCTGTAGTAAATATCTATTTCAGTCAATAAACATTTCAAAGAATGATGACGTAAGCTCCACTAACTGTAAATGAGAGGAAATATATGCACCTGTATGTGGAGGTGGGGCTGGGGTTTGAGGATAGGTTTCTAGCAATAATTCCAATAGTTCTAATTTAGACTCTCTCTCTCTCTCTCTCTCTCTCTCTCTCTCTCTCTCTCTCTCTCTCTCTCTCTCTCTCTCTCTCTCTCTCTCTCTCTCTCTCTCTCTCTCTCTCTCTCATATGTCATTTTCATATTGGTCCTATCTATTGATTGGTCTGTCCACCCGTCTATCTATCAATCCATTTATATATCTATATGTATATGCATCTATTAAATACATACATGCATTTAGCGGCTGGATTTATTTTCACACATCAGCCGTGACAAAAATTTCAAAAGTTCCTACCTTCCTTTCAAAGAGCACCAACGCAAAAGACTATTTGCTCAAAGTGTGCATAGTACCCGATTATAAAAATAAAACGATGGTCAAACTTTAAGTGATGTGTGTGTGTGTGTGTGTGTGTGTGTGTGTGTGTGTGTGTGTGTGTGTGTGTGTGTTGGCCTATGGGGCCGGAAAAATTGCTTTCCCCCACCTATGGGGTCAGAAACGTGCGGTAAATATGTGTCGTGTAATACATGCTCCACACCTTTAAAGTCATTTTCAAAAGTATTGCAACTACAAAAATCTTTAAAGGTAAGTAATAGGAAATTCTCGCCTGCAAATATAGACAGACACTCTTCTCTGATCTGGGATTAACAACTGAAGATTCAGATATGCTCGGCCTTTTTACATCCCGAGATTACGCGGCATATCTACGTGTCCCGATCAGAGGGTCTATCCTAATGGTGGCTAGTCTCTTGAACGGATTACCTTTTTGTCCGGTGTTGTTATACCCTCTATTTAACTATTGTAAAGAAGCTATCGCTTTTGTTCCACTCATAACCTGGATTACCACTCATAACCTGGGTTATGGCTAATTTTGATAAATCGCTTTTGTTCCACTGTGATATGGATTACCACGCGTAACATGGATTATTAATTTTGTAATAGTTGAAAAGAAAATGAGACCGGTTTCTTTCGGCTGATTAATTTCGTGACAAGCGAGTAAATCGTTTATTATTATGAACTCTGAACCAGACTATTTATGATTACATTTGTAAAAAGCGGCTTCTAAAGTAAGTCGGTTATTGTGTCATCCAAGCCAAGAAATATTGAACCAAGTTATTTCATTTTGTAACTAATCTCAATTCGTAAGGGTCAACATAGTCATACATACCTTATACTTTCTCTTCCAAATTTGATATCCTAATAGTGTCATTGCTTCTACGTTGTTACTATTTTTAGACAAAGACAGATTTTGCTGGTACTAATTCATAAGTAAGTAATAGGCGATAATAACAATTACTGACCAAGACGGCACAAAATGCCCACGTCAGTAAATTGGCAAGACTAGTGTATACCGATCATAGCAGACCATAGAACACAATTAATTTCACTATATTGTCTCTATATTTGTTTTTCAGTACTGAACTTTCCACTGTGTGACAATCAATACAAATCATATGAAGATCTAAAATACCTTCAAAGATAACTTTACGGTTTAGTTCTTGTCAAGGGTTGACCTGCATTTTTTTGAGAGGCTGAATTGTAAACGAAACACGAGGCAACGGAACATAGATTTCACTTCCGGATCATCACCATGACCTTATTACTCAATGTGCACTGTCGCCGAAATACACACAGACAACCACACCATAAGCTCACATTTTAAAGAACAAACAATTGCCTTTAAATTTTTACTAAGAATGCCAAAATCAAATTCTAGTATCACCACCAAACTTAGACAGGAAAAAGTGATCTAAAAATAGACTGGGACTACATTCGTGGGTACTGAACCGGATTTTATTAATTTTGTGTACTGATTCCAGCAGGGCAAAGTGTCCACGTCAGTATAATGGGCGACACTAATGTATAACAATCAATACAGAGCAAACTTTCAACGTCAGTATAATGGACGTGACCAATGTATACCAATCATGACAGCGCAAAATGCTTACGTCAGTATAATGAGTGAGACCAATGTATACCGATTGTGACAGCGCAAAATGTTAAAGTCAATATAATGGGCGACCGATCATGACAACTCGTCATAATAATGGGAGAGACTAATGTATACCGATCTTGACTGAACAAAATGCTTTAAGTCAGACTTTTGGGTGACACTATTGTGTACCGATCATGACGTGCAAAATGTGTTTTTTTTTTTTAAATAAAGTAAACATACGTTAAAATCAATACAAATGATGGGCGCTTCAGTTGTTAGCGTTCCAGACTCCAGACCAAAGGAATGCGTGTTTTAATCCTACCATCAACCGCTCAGGTGGTTTAGTGGTTAGAGCATCCGCCTCGGATGCGGGAGGTCGTGGGTTCGATCCCCGGTCAAGTCATACCAAGGACTTACAAAAATGTTACTACCAGCTACCTCGCTTAGTTCTCAGCATTTAGAGGTTAGTGTTAGGATTGGTTGGCCTTGTGTCATGGTAATGTGACTGGGTGATGATGCAGCATGATGCCCCAGTGATAGACATCACTTTCAACGGACACACTGCAGATATGACTGAAAAAGTCGTTTAAGCTACGTTAGAAATCATAATCACATCACATCACATAATCCTACCATCAGATCGGGCCTGGGTCTGCTATCGCAGTGCATCCATGTGCAACAAACTTGACTACAATTGCCCATACACTAAATAATCTATTTGTTTTGCAGTAAAGCACGAACCAACCAACCAAACACAAAATGAATGATGGTGAAAACTACACTAGCTGTAAATGTTAGCAGACATATATATATATATATATATATATATATATATATATATATATATATATATATATATATATATATATATATATATATATATATATATATATATATATATATATATAGGCAAACCTTCAAAGATCACCGCAACATTATGTTTGTTTATCTGTCTGCCTGTCTTCCTGTCCCTCTATATGTAATGTTTACAGATATCAATGCACGAAGTATCTTGTCTTCTTATCAGATGTCAGTATTGTATAATAACTGGATCATATTCTAGCTTTTGTGTCAGAAGCGCATAGCAGACAGATGCCTTTTAATGCTGCACCGCACCTGAAAGAGGACCCATATCCTACGTTCGTTAACTGGTGTCACTGTTTCTGAGTTGCTGTTAATATTTATTCATTCTTTATTTGTGTCTGCTGTTAATGTTATTTTTATGCGATGACCGATTTAAATAACTGGCCGGGGACACTGCACAAAATGCCCCATCTGTATAGTAAATATTTATTTCAATCAATAAACATTTCAATGAATGATGACGTAACCTGCACTAACTGTAAACGAGAGAAGAGATAAGCACTACATGTGGAGGTGGGGCTGGGGTTTAACGATAGGTTTCTAGCAATAATTCTAATAGTTCTAATTTAGATTTCCAGTCCTATTACCTACCTTCTAAGCTGCTTCAAGTACTTACTTAGATCTAACTCTCAGTCTCTTTTTCTATCTGTCTGTCTGTCTGTCTGTCTCTATATTTTTATTTGTCATTTTCATAATTCTCTTCTTTATCGATCGGTCTGTCCACCCATCTATCTATCAATCCATTTCTATATCTACATGTATATGCATCTATTAAATATATACATGTATTTAGCAGCTGGTTTTATTTTCACATATCAGCCGTGACAAAAATTTCAAAAGGTCTTCCTTTGCCTTGAAAGGGCACCAACGCAAAAGACTATTTCCTCAAAGTGTGCATAGTACCCGATTACAAGAATAAAACGATGGACAAACTTCAAGTGATGTGTGTGTATGTGTGTGTGTGTGTGTGTGTGTGTGTGTGTGTGTGTGTGTGTGTGTGTGTTTTGGCTAATGGCGCCGAAAAAATTGCTCCCTCCACCTATGGGGTCAGAAACGTGCGGTAAATATGTGTCGTGTAATAATGCTACACGCCTTTAAATTCATTTTCAATGTATGGTGCAGTATTACCCGAAACATATTTAATCTTAAGCGAGCTTTTACAGAAACATTTCCACGTTACCTTGATTAAGACACCTGTAACGTTGAAGGTCCTATTTACAGTATTCACGTGTCTTCATCGAGGTTACTTGGAAACGTTTCTGGATAAACTCGCTTAAGATTGTTTATGACTTTACATGGTCTTGCAGTTATTGTTCTTGTTGTTGCTACCGCAAGAGTTATTTATGTTGTCAATAATAAACATGATGATTATAATCCCAACGACAATGACAATAATGTCAGACGAAGAAGATGACTTCACTGATGATCACACTTATGACAGCACAAAGAGTAAATGTGAAGTTGTAGTTATTGTGATAACGTTGACGAAGATAATGTGGATGATTATGAAGTGGCGGAGATGATGACGATGGCGTTGATAAATGATGATAAGTGATGTTAATTTTACTGGTGTCCTTGCTTCTACGTTGTTACTATTTTTATGCAAAGACAGGTTTTGCTGGTACTAATACATATGTAAGTAATGGGCGATACTAACGATTACCGACCAAGACAACACAAAATGCCAACGTCAGTAAAATGGGCGACACTAATGTATAAAAATCAATACCGAGCAAAATGCTTACGTCAGTAAAATGAGCGAGACCAATGTATACCGATTGTGACGGTGCCAAATGTTCAAGTCAATATAATGGGCGACCGATCATGACAACTCATTATAATGGACGAGACTACTGTATACCGATCTTGACAGAACAAAATGCTTTAAGTCAGACTTATGGGCGATACTGATGTGTACCGATCATGACGTGCAAAATGTGTTTTTTAATAAAGTGAACATTTGTTTAAATCAATACTAATGATGGGCGCTTCAGTGGTTAGCGCTTTAGACTCAAGACCAAAGAAATGCGTGTTTTAATCCTACCAGCAACCGCTTCGATGGCCTAGTGGCTAGAGCAGTGGTCCCCAACCTTTTTATCGCCGCGGACTGGTCAACGTTTGATAATTTTACCGCGGCCCACTGAGGGGGGGGGACGTTGATTGTTTATATTTAGATCAGTGGTCCCCAACCTTTTTATATCGCCGCAAACCGGTCAACGTTTGATAATTTTACCGCAGCCCACAGAGGAACGGGGAGGAACGTTGATTGTTTTTATTTTAGATTGTTTTGATTTAATAATTTTAATTTAATTGCATTAAACATGCCTTCAAAATAAAATACAGTTAAACCAAAAAATGAATATAAAGTGATTGAACATTTTTACTCACTAGAACGCTAAATCAATGAGAACCCTGAACTTGTTTCTTTGCAACGAGACGGTTTTTATCTAGGGGTAATAAGAGACAATGAGATCAGAAGTGTGCTGCTTATGTGCAGTTTATTCCGTTGTTTTGTTTTGGTTGCCGTCACTGCAGAAAACACAGATAGGATGTCGAAAATAGCAATAGGAATTTAAGTGCTGTGATAGCAATCTCAGGGCATTCCGCCATGTCTTTAATTCAGAACACCGGCATAGTTGTTTTCTCGAACGTAGTTTTAAAACCACCGTCATTTGCAATCTTCATCAGTTTATATTCTCCTTGCACGGACATACTAGATTTGCCTGGTTTGTTGACAAATGGTTCACGGATCTATTCCTTACCAGTTCGTGGGTTTTTGTGGTTGGGAAGTAGCGTTCGAAATATTTTGAAAAGCAAAGACAGGTGATCGTGCACCAACTGGGAGAATGAATGCTCAGGCTCAGTCTAAAATCCCCGCTAATTTCTGAAACATGTCCCAAATGCCTCTGTTCACGCACCGTCCCCACAACTCCAGTTTGACTTTAAATGCAGCTACTTTGTCTGCCAACTGGAAAACAGTTGTCATTTTTTCCCGAAAGGATAGATTGAGTTCATTAAGCAGGCTGAATATGTCACACAGGTAAGCCAGTTTTGCGACCCATACCTTGTCACCGAAATGTACTGTCAGAGGTGACTTTTTTTCTGAGAAAAATCTTTGCAATGGCTCTCGTAATTAAAAAACTCTGGTTAGCGATTTTCCTCTGGATAACCATCTTATTTCTGTGTATAAGAGAATGCATCTGTGCTCTGCGTCAATCTCCTCACAAAGCTGCTGAAACAGACGCGAGTTCAGGGCGTTTGCTTTGATGTGGTTAATAACTTTAACGATATCAATCAATACGCTGTTAAATACAGGTGACATATTTCGGCTTGCCAGCATTGCTTTGTGAATGATACAATGCGTAGATTCACTGTCAGATGCAACTTCCTTAATCCGGGCAGTGAAACCAGACAGTCTTCCGGTCATGGCAGCAGCTCCGTCTGTACATATGCGGACACAAAAGGACCATTTTAGTTGTCCTGATATATAACCATCCAGTGACTTGAACAGTTCTGATCCTGTGGTGTTGGTTGGCAAAGATAGTGCACATAACAAATCCTCATGCACATCCTCCTGATATAGATATCGCACATAAACAAGTAGTATTGCATTGTTGTCTATATCTGTAGATTCGTCAACCTGGAGTGCGTACAACGGTGGTATATTAATCCTCTCCAACAATTGTGTCTCAATGTCTTCGGCTATTTTCCTCAATGTACCTAGTAACAGTGCTAGTCGACAAAGTGCTATCTTTTCCACAGCAGCCTCTCCTAAAAGTTCACGGCAAATGTCTTTATAGGAGGGCAAGATCAATTCTTCACCGACAGTGAATGATATTTAGCCTTTGCAATACGGTTAGCCACCAAATGTCAGTGCATTCTCCTTTATTGATGTGGTGGCCCTCATAAATTTTTTCTGTCCTTCGTGCTCCGTTTGTTTTCTTTAAAAATACGCATGGGGCTTGTTTTTTAATCCAAGGTGCTTGGCGTTCAAGTGGCAAAGCAGTTTTGAAAGTTTCATTGCTTCATTAGAAAGCTGGTCGCCGCAAACCATGCAGAGCGGAGTTGGTGTGTGGGAATCACCTATCCCGATAAGTCCATATATCAAGTAGGACTCAAAGTTTTCTGTTTCTTTAATGTTGAAGGCTCTTCTGTATCTTCGCTGCACTGAGCCTTTTCTTTTTCCCAAGGAAACGTTCTAACGACGTCTGTTTCGTACTCCCTTTTGCTAATGTGTGGGTTAAATTTGAGCAAACACAATACACAAGTACCGGTGATCAGAAAGAAGAGCAATTCACACCTTATCTCCTCCAAAGCTACAATGCCATTGCCGCTTTCAGCTGCTCAGCTCCAGACGTGATCTAAAACCGACCCGATATCACGATCTTTTGCGCATGTACGGTATTGGTACTGCTTTAGGCGACGTCTCTCTGCTCCCTGTTAACATCTCGTCCATGAAAAGTCGCACGAACCCGATAGAAATACACCACAGTAAACAAAATGGAAATAATTTAATGGTCCTTGGGCGGCCCTGTACCA